CCTCCACTTCCACTTAAAACCCCACCAAAAATACTGCTCCAGAGCAATTTTAACATCAAAACATTGCAACTTGAAAAGAAAAGTTACCACAGGAAGTGTGCATTCCCTAAATTTAGATCAAAGTTAGAATGGCTTACTTTAAAGCAGGAGGGGCCAGCGATAGTGATTCTTTCGCCTCCTGGTCATCTTCAGGGTTCTCAAACACAGATTAATTAAATTCCAGGGTCACTCCTACACCCATTTATTTCGAAGAATTCTCTGCCCTTTTCAAGGGAATACAATAATACAGAGTAAGAGAAAACAAGCCAATAGCAACCTGAACTGCCCAGTTAACAGTCTGACTATTTTGATTCAGAAAAGAGCCATTATCAACCAAGTATGTATTTAGCTTTTCACTAACTTTTTAAGGACGGGAAATGCTTCGTTGGCACTGTAATGCCTAAAATAGCATCCTTGACTGGGTAGAGTATTTAAACAGCATTTGTTTCTACAGGATTTCATAATCAACAGGAAATGTGACAAAATAGTTCTGATAAGTGCACTCGCTTTAAAGTGATACACTGCACTCAGCAGCCAGTGGAGCCTGGTTGATGCCTGGCTGAATGATACACCTCAGTGCTGGGTAGCACTTCCTCGTGTGAGTTGGCTTGTCTGGCTCCATCAGAGAGGCAAACCATATTTTAAAATAGGAGTTGCCTTGAAACTTTATGTTGCAGGATTGTATTACCATTTTTTAACAATTTAATTTTAGGCAATGGTGGTAAATTTCATTTTTTATAAATTAAAAAAATAGAAAACTTGTGTAATTTATTATAATATGTATGTTATTAATATTCATGTGCTCTTTATATTTCCTTCAGAGAACAAGTTGGTTTGACACCTGAAAAATTCATAAAACCAGAAAATGAAAAATTAAATCTAGTCCAATTTTCATTTTGTGGAACTTTTATAAATAATCTTTCTGACTCATTTTCTGCCTGAAATAGTTTAAAGTAACTATTCAAATTGATGTGACTAATTTGAGCATTCAAATAGATACCTAAGCAAAATTTGAAGTGTCTTGGCGAAGCATTTTAAAGGAAGGCATTAATCTTTGTGTCTTGGCAAAGGAATTGTACCTAACGAAGTAGATAGAGACTAGAAGAACTTTTGTTGAGAATCAAAGCTTAAAAAATTTTTTCAAGGAGGAAATGTTAGAACACCAGAAACTTAAAGTAACTAAATCTGTCGTTTATAGAACTTGCATGAATTCGGAAGAAAATGCCATGGTCATAAGACTCTGTACCTGAACAACCTGAAGGTTATGGACATTCTGAACTTTATCTCCATGAAGAATCTAAAGTCAAGTCATGATAATTCAATTAATGTTAAATCTGTACTCCAGAAACTGACATGGAGTAAACACAGACAAATCAATACTACCGTTTCCCCGAAAGTAAGACATCCCCCCAAAATAAGACCTACTTTCAGTTTTGCCTCTCGCTGAAATAGAAGGCACCTCCCAGAACTAAGACCTCCCCTGAAAATAAAACCTAGCGTGTCTTTGGGAGCAAAATTAATATGACACTGTCTTATTTTCAGGGAAACAGGGTATCTCTAGAAGGGGAAACTTCTTCCTGCAGTTTTCATGTGGTAAGCATAAAGAATTCAGAGTGTCCATAGCTGTTGGTCTTCATAGAACCAGTTCCTTTTGATTTATAACATCAAGAAGATTCTTCAAGGCTTTCTCATGACAAATAAATGTTCTGTTTCTGATCAGTGTTACAATGATTCACAGTTAAAAGGCTGAGATAAGGGGGAGGGGAAAAAAGGAAAATGAGCTAATTCCAGGAACCCAAGAGGAAAGTGCATTTTGAGAATGCTGAGGGCAACAAATGCATAAGTGTGCTTTACACAATTGATCTATGTATTGGGATGAATTGTATAAGCCCCAATAAAATGATTTTTTAAAAAGGCTGAGATAAACATTTGAAAAATATTTTTTATTATTTTTTAACTTAAAATTTAATAAAAAGAAACCAAGGGAAATAGTAGGTTGATATTTTTTAAAAATTTATCTCTTAAAATAAAAATAACCTACCATATAGACTCAAGTATAAGCTGACCCGAATATCAGCTGAGGCACCTAATTCTACCACAAAAACTGCATTTAAAATGTGCTGTAAAACTCAGCATATACACGAGTATATACAGTAGTTAAGCCATCCAAATATACTTTAACATTTTATATGTATATATATATATATAATATTGGCTTTAAAATGAATCTCATTAAATACAGGAGTGGATTAGAATGGAAAGATCATTAATACCACCGTTAGAAGTCTTTAAAACTATGATAATTATCTATCCAGGACGGTTTATGATATAACCATATTTGCATGGAAAAAGGCAGTGAAAAGGAAAGATGGAGTTTACAACTGGACTGTTGTCCATCTGTTATAAACACTGTATTTTGTAAATAAATAGGATTTGGGGGAAATATGCCATAAAGATAGGAGGAAAACAAGTTATATTTTATCATTTGTGGTATGAACCTGTTCATTTTAGAGGTTCCTCCTCCAGCACAATCTGGAAAGCCTCCTCAAAGGCCACTTAGGACTCGGGCAGTCCATCGCCCTCACCCCCCCACAGACTGAGGTACAGGGTCACTTCACAAACACATTACACAAGGCAGCATTGTTGTGGAGAAGCTGTGCTTCACGGAACAGAGATAAACCCGGCGTATTAGAGCTTCTTTCTAATCTCTGGAGCTGTTTTCCTGATAAAACAATGAGGATATTCAGTTTACATTTTTTCTCAAAAATTGTAGGAATGCTGTGAGAAATTTAGTATGACTTAGGGAAATTTTTTTGAATTGTAGGTTAATGTGGTTTAAAGAAATTGATCGTGTTAACTGAGTGCCCATTCATTACCTTCCAGGCATTGTCCCTGGAGGGCAAGAAATGTTTATACTGAAAGCAAAAATGTATTCAGCCAAACATGATGTACGTTTATTTCACTTACATGGAGTCAACAGTATGCATGCAGAAAAAAAATTAAGAAGTGGTTATTATGAAATAATTAAGTGGTGTGAGGAGTTTTGTCCACTGTCCAGCTGTTAGTGTCCGCCCTAGTTGAGTGATCCCGAGCTGGATGACATGAGCTTGCCGGTATTTTGTCCCCTGGTGGTTCTAACAGTGTGAACGTGAAGTGACAAGCTTTTTGTGTGCGTCTGTCGCTCTGAACACAAACGACTTTGTGGCTTAACCAAAGAAACAGTAACACTGCTTCTTCCCACTCTGGAAGAAAAACTAACTGTGCCGCCCCCAGAAGATAGCAAGGACCTGCCTGCATGAGGAGTTCAAGCAGATCATCTTGTCTCTGTGTCTGTCTTTACTTTAAGGGGTTAACTTTGTAACCTAACTCTTACCTGAGCAAGGTAACCTCATGTTTGGTCCACTTGCCTTTTGGTGGACAAAGACTCAAAGTGGCTGAACTGACCAGATAGTGTCCTGACAATTTATCAGAAAGGCCTCGGAAAATCTCCCACGTTTTTGCTAAGCTAGATGTCTCTACAAAGAATCAAATAAAATGTCCCTTTGATCTCTCCTTCCTAACATGAGAAATGCATTCAGTAAAAGGACAGCCCATTCACATGGGAGATATGTATGTTGACAGTGTGGGCTGTCATTTTGCTTTACATATAATTTCATTTCGGAAATAAATGATTTCATTTGTAATTGTCATGGTAAATGAAAGGGCTTTTTTAAATTTAAATTAGCGTGTGAAGACTTAAAGTTTAGACCAGAGGCTTTAGAAAAGCTGCCTAATTTTTATTTTTCACCTCCACATCAAGGAAATAGTTCTTAACCACTTTTTTCCTTGGAAAGTTGCTCTGAAGGCATGGTGGATTATGGGTTTGGCTGCTAACCACAAGGTCAGCAATTCGAACCCACCAGCTGCTATGCAAGAGAAAGACGAGGCTTTCTACTCTGCTCTATAGAGTTGCTATGAGTGAATGAGTGAGTTATTCACTGGAAAATAGTAGAATTTAACGTGGTCCTTTTCTTCTGTGGTTGTGATTTTCTGATTTTAATAGCCTGCCGCATAGACAGATTCTACTTAAAAGAATATGTTTTCTTTAAAAAAAAAAAAAAAGAAAGTATGTATAAAATGATTGGTTTCCTCCTTAAAGAAAAATGCCAAGTTTGAAATAGTGGTAATACTTAACTATTTTTACGATGATAATTGAAAAGGATGTTATTTTTAAAAGAGTGAAAAAAGCCCTAAGAAAGAAGCCCTTTTTGGCTTCTGTGAAATCAGGCTAATAGGTGCTATGTTTGGAAGCAGCCAGTGTTTGTCCTGCTTTTCCACATCTTGTCGCCTAATCTGGTGGGTGACCGAGAAAGCCAGCGTCTTCTGAAACTGGAAGGCTAAGAAGAAAAGCACTAAGTGAGAAAGCACCGCTTACTAGTTCATGGTTGCTCAGCACCAAACCTGTTTTTCTCTTCCCCCACTCTATAAAAATAACTTCCTAAAAGGTAATGTTCATTTGCTAAAATACTGATGTAGTACAAATTGGAATCATATTTTATATTAGTTTGTTGTTGTTGTTGTTTCATAACGGGGAGTGTTAACCACAAAACCTAGACTTGGACTGTAAGTCATATCTTTATTAGAAGTATATATGTGTATGACTAAATGATTAGCATAAAATAGAACTATAATGCCAGCGAATCACAGCACTAAAAAGAGAACATTCTTTCTACCTCAGCCATTTCTCTCTGTACAGACGGGAGAGTCAAGAACCAAGAGATTAAATGACTTGTCCTTTGTTCAGTTAATTTACAAAAAGATGCTCTATTAACTGTCAGACGAGGTGTACTGTCTCTGTCCACATCTTTTGTATGCCGATGGTGCTTTATCTCACTTTGGTCTCTAAGTGCATGTGTGCCAGTGGTACTACCGGGGCCACTCTTGGGTGGAGCTGGATAAACCCTTCTGTTTGTTAACCACAGCCTGGCAGTGAGCTGGACAACTTGGAGGAGATTTTGGATGATTTACAGAACAGTCAATTACCACAGCTTTTCCCAGACACGAGGCCAGGCGCCCCTACTGGATCAGTTGACAAGCAAGCCATCATCAATGACCTCATGCAACTCACAGCTGAAAACAGCCCTGTCACACCTGTTGGCGCCCAGAAAACCACACTGCGAATGTCACAGAGCAGTGAGTATAAGACACTGGGGGTTGTGTCAAGAAAGTTGCATATAATTGCTCTCAGAAACCAAGGTAATTCGGATCTGATGCAAAAAGCTTAGTCACTTCAGAGTTTCTGTGATCGAATAGCACCCTCTACTGTCCTGATCCTTTGAAACAATACTTCAAAATGGAGTCTATTTAACGTTTTCCAACATTCTCTCCTGAAAGGAAACTTACCAACATCGATAGTGTTCTCCAAATCATTGTTATATTTTCTTTTATTCCACTTGCTACCTTCAGAAATGGCGTTTAAAATATATTTTATGTGTTTTAATAAATAACTGAATACTTTAAAAATAGAAAAATAAGATAATGTAGATCTTTTAGGATAATAAACTATTAAAAAGAAGATTCTTCTGAAAACACGTCATCGTTTTCCACATTAAAAAGATCTTGCCCGATCCCTTGTGGGTCTTGATGTTGACATTGGCTTTACATGGAACTTTGTCCTGCATGGGTGTCCTAAGTGCCTTTGAAGCTATTCCGTTTGATATAATGCTTGAAGTCCTTCTACCATCAGTGGTAACCATATATTTACCACTTTTATTTTGTTTCAAGGCATCCTAAGTTTAATAAGAACTCCCCCTTTACTGTGAACATTCCTTTCACCAACTTGGTATTAAAAATTGTCCAATGGTTTGGGAGAAAATACTCTTTCTGATCTAGGCTTATTATTCTTATGAAGAGCTTAAAGATGCGCTTTCCTTTTTTAAATCTTTCTGAGAAAATAAAGTGTTTAATAGATAATGGATCGGCTCAATAATTCCTAGTATTTTGGTATTTTAAAAATAATAGCAATGTCATCACATTATTAGTTGTTTATGGAATAGTATAAAGCACTCCTATAGTGCTCAGTACACAAGAAAATCTTGTGAACTAACCTTAAAAATACTTTCAGGCTGAAATGTATCTACACTTTTAAAAAACTGCGCTAGAAGAGCAAATGAGGCTCTGAAGCTCTTTTACTTAAGACTGACTTCCGGTGGGAGGCATTACACTTCAAGATGTTACTCTCAGTGAGTAACTTTTAACATAACGCTAATCCTAGAAAAAGTATCCAGTTAAGACATGAGCTAACATCAAACCACATGTGCATAAGTTTAGTGCAAGAAATATTTATAGGTGTGATAAAGTAATGCTTCTTTATGTCTTCAAATAAATTTTATATACTTAGCAAATAAGCTGAATGTTAGGAATTAACATTAGGGATAAAAATATATGGGGCAGAATAGACAGTATAAGATATGAAATAGCAATAAAAATATATAAATGGAGGGTGGGGGGAAGAGAAGCTTATACCAAGGGCTCAAGTAGAAAATGTTTTAGAAATGATGATGGCAGTATATGTAGAAATATGCCTGATACAATTGATGTATGGGAATATTATAAGAGCTTTAAGAGCCCCTAATAAAATGATTATATATTTACGTGGGGGGGAGGGGGCGCAGGGGACTTAATATATATATGGTCTTTCCCTTCCCCCACCTCCCAAATTATTAGGAAGGACATTGAAAATATGTTGATTAGATTATGAGTCCACTTTTTGCCACTGTGCATGTTTTCATCTTTGAATTTGTCTTTCATGTAGGCAGTTGCCCCAGACAAGCATATTGTTGTTCTTTTATAGAAAACATTTTCCCTAGTCACTACTACTATTACTATTCTTTTCCATTATCTTATATTAACCTCCAATTTTCATTTGTTTTCTCCTTAGCTTTTAATAACCCACGACCAGGGCAACTGGGCAGGTTATTGCCAAACCAGAATTTACCACTTGACATCACCTTGCAAAGCCCAACTGGTGCTGGACCTTTCCCTCCAATAAGAAACAGTAGTCCATACTCAGTGATACCTCAGCCGGGAATGATGGGTAATCAAGGGATGATAGGAAACCAAGGAAATTTAGGGAGCAGTAGCACAGGTAAGGGCTCAAATGCACTGCTTCGCTATGGGTGGGTTGTCTAACTCGATGACAATGATGCATTCGTCCACACCAAATTAGCAGAATTTTCCAAGTGAATTTTCAATGTTAGCAACTAACATCTGAAGATAAGAATATTGTACAGGTTTTCACAGAGGAATGGTTAACGACGCTTCGGAAAACTTGTCAGTAAGGCTGTGATCATTACTTTTATCAGGTTTCTAATCGTGAATCTTACAACAAAGGCCAATTGTTTTGCCTTTATAGCAGGTACTTTTCTAGTGGTATATGTAAATTAAAATTATTTGTTTCCTGTGATAACCTCCTGATATCGCCAAAACTTTCTGATGATGATTATTGCTTTCTAGAGGAGTTCAGAGTGAAAGTTTAAAATCTAACCAGTCTTCAAATATTTGGCTATACCATTTTCCTTCTGAAAAATAACTCAGTAAAAATAAAGAGCTTTAAATACTAATGAACCTAACCCAAATCATAACTTGTAGATCTGGCCCAGGGCTCTGTTTTGGACGATTTAGAGGTGCCTGTAATCTGATTTGGACCTTGACCTGCTACAATTTAAGTTGTCTACCACATTGCCTAGATGCGTTTCCTAAGCAGAACCCCTATTATTGCAGCAAATATATCCCTAAACTTCCATTCAATTCCATCTATTAATCATTACAGCAAAAATGATTGTTATTGCCACCATGCCCTGTACCCTAGAAAATCTCTTTATTAATAGCTATAGCCGTATGCTGAGTTTCCTACTGAGTTGCCATTATAAAAAGAACTTGTATTTGTGGGTGTTTTAATTCTTGGTATTGTTTTTGCTTAGTCTGGACCATCTAGAGATCCCAGATGTTTAGGCTGTGAAGGTCATATAGCACTTAGGCGCCACACAAGAAAAAAAGAGTAAAAGGGAAATACCCATTATAATTGCAGTACTACGGTTAACTTAGGAGTGAGTGAACTTCTTTTCCATTTTCTAGACTCTCCATAATCTTGTTACATTATTTCTGAAAAAATAAAACTCCTAGCCTCCCATTATAGCTTGAGATTGTTCAAATCTAATCTTAAAGTTGTTTTTAAAACATGTAGCATTGTTCTAACTTTTTCAATTGAATTAATTACCCTTCACCCTTAATCATTCTAATATAACACATTCTTGTTTCGCACGTTAAGAAACGCCCACAGTATATCTTCCCTCCATTTGTTAAACAGACCCTATTTTTAGTCGTTTACCATCATAAACGGAATGTAAGCCATCGTTTGGAATGCAGAACCTGTGCACATCGGCAGTGAACACTTCAAAATGATGTGACTTCCTTGGAGACTGCCCTTCCATTGAATATCAACTCTTACCAAATGTCAGATTATCCCCAGCAGCCCACGGCCCAGAGGGAGAGACTAACTAAGCCCTCGGTGCGGCTTGGCAGTGCTTTCTCTCATTGTTCTTTGTAGTCGCATGATGACTAATAACTTAATCCTAAAAAGGATTTTTCCAAATCTGCCCTAGCCCATTCTGGATATCAGTTTAAGCACTCATGTGGTAGTTCCAGTTTACTGAGCAAGTAGGATTTCCCTTGCCTTGGCTTCGAAGAACTGTTGTAAATACCCAAAAGATCCTGTAATTTCTCCCATGCTGCAGAGGTCAACTTTGACTTTTAACAAATTCTAATACTCTGAAGGGGATTCTAGGCCATCAGTCTCACGTAGGTTGAGAATGTGTTCTCTGTGGTTTGGGTTTGTAAATTAAGAGTATTGATTATCAGTTTTTACTGATAATCTACCTCTTAGCCTCACCTCCCTTTTGGAAAGTAAGGCATTGACGTGTATGTCAGCTAATGTGATTCACTTCCTGAGGAAGGAAGTTGGGGTTATCCGCACGCCACAGCACCTGTCTCTAATTACATATAGGAACCGTTTTAACAGCTTGTACAAACTATAAGGAGTGGCAAGTCACATGTTTTTGTTTTGTTTTTAAAGATTGTTGTAATTTCTTACTCTTTATTTTTTTAGCCAAGGACCACTGCCTACCCAAATGACAGGGTTGGCTAATATTACACTGTGTATTATAGAACAGTTGTCTTATAAAGACTATTAATCTGGTGCTCATACATGCTGAATATGTTTTCCCTTACTGCATTGCTCAGTTTTCTTTGGTTTGAATGCAGGAATGATGGGTAGTAATCCTTCTCGGCCCACCATGCCATCTGGAGAATGGGCATCACAGAATTCTGCTGTAAGAGTCACCTGTGCTGCTACCACCAGTGCCATGAACCGGCCAATCCAAGGAGGCATGATTCGGAATCCAACAGCCAGCATCGCCATGAGACCCAACAGCCAGCCTGGCCAAAGACAGATGCTTCCGTCTCACATGAACATAGGTAAGACAGTTGGGTGCGCTCGGTGCATCTATCTATTTTTTATCATTTCTTAAGAGGAGAGTAACAGAACCCAACATTCTGTCATGACTTGCTCCTAATTTGCAATTTAAGTTACTCTCCCTTCTCCCCCCTGCCCCCTACACACACATGCTAAGCTGTTACCGGTAGGATTTTTGGAACCGATAAAAGAGGCATAGAATCTCCATAGTTCTCCAGGTACATAAGAGAAACTACTTTTATGAGATTTCAGTCTCATTCAGTTATGAGCTGTCACCTGTTGATGAATTAGTGTCAGGCTCTAAAGATGATATGATATTTTTAAAAATCAAGGAATCATTACTTACATTATACAGCAGTGCTTCTGAAATCCAGGCAATCGTCAGAATCATCTAAGGCATTTACAAATGCAAGTTGCAGGGCTACCACCCTGCACAACTGAACTAGGCCCTCCCCAGTCTTCTCTGAACTACAAGGTCTCCTGAAATAGCTCGCAAAATATGATGAGCGCTAGACTTCATGTGAATTGGATACAGTGCACAAGCTATTAAAATTAATGGTCTGACCGATTAGGCAAGTCTAGAGGGGTGGAAGGTAGATTCATGATTGCTTGGGGTTGGGGGAATGGAGATTGCCTCCTAGTGGGTATGGAATTTCTTTTGTGATGGGGTGGGGGGTGGTAGTGAAAATATTCTAGAATTGATGATAACAACAGTCATACAACTCTGAGTGTGCTAAAAACCTCTGAATCTTGAAATGGGTGAAATGTATGGTATGTGTAATATCTCTCAATAAAGTTGTTATATTACAGAAAGTTATGGTCTTTGCAACTCATGCTTGAGATTTTAATTATGGCCACGTTAACCTTTGAGTTATCTTGTACATTAGAATAATTCATGTAAGTTACTATTTGTGTACTATTCCATGAACATGGATACTGGACAGTGAACAAGCACTAAATCACCGGAAGATGTTGGGATTGGTTTGACGAGCTAATCCAGAACTCTCATCCTAACTTTGGCACCAAGTTAACGCTGACCCAGTTCTTTAGTTGCTCAGCACCACCTGGTGTGGTGTTTCTGAGGCAACAGGTATAGTGTCCTTCTGCCTCAAATGTATTTTGAATTCATGAGGGGTTCCCAAGTGTGGGGTTGTGTAATTTGAATGTTGTATTAAATCAACAACAATGCTAAAAATCACCAAATTCTGTACAAAATTGTTGAGAAATTTTATTTGTCCTTAGTCTTCTTCACTTAACTGAAGGATATCAAACTTTTAAGCTTGAAATACGGCTTTTTGGTGTAGCTAAATCTCTCTGGTTTTTAATAAATTCCAAAAAGCTGTGAACTCAATAGAAAATTATCTGTTATAATGGGAAACCCACTGCCACCAAGTCACTTGACTCCTGGCAATCCTAGGTAGAGTGGAAGATGGGCTAACTGATGGATGGACAGGTCATGACAATAATAAGGGTTCGTAACATTCAGTAGCTTTAAGCCTCCAGAAAGAACATGCTTCCTGCCCTCTCTGGCCTGGCTCCGGTGGAAGAGTAACATGAAGTGCAGTTTAAAGTGTAGGATCTGTACCGTATAAATGTCTGGCCCAAGATTCTTTCAGAGACTGAGACCAAAACCATTTTCGTGTTGCGATGCTATCATTGGCCTTCTTTGCTCTCCTTCTCGTACAAGTGTACGTAGAATTTTCCAGCAGTTCCAGAGCAATTTCACAACAGATTTTAGGCACAAGCAGATAATGATATTCTACCTCTCCTATTAAATCTCAGTGCTAATACAATATGCCAAAAAATGTGGAACTGAGTCACTCTTCTAACAGTTTTCATTTATTATTTTAAAATCTTCTTTATACTCACATATAGTGAACTTATTATTATGATAATATTCTAAATAATCTTTTAAAATTTTTGTTTTCATTTCTAGTACATTAGCTATCCAAAGCATATAACTTATATAAGCAAAAGCTTTTTAAAAGAATATTTAAAAGGTCTTAAGAACATTAACTCCGAATTGTTTATCCCACCTATCTTATCTAGATAGACATACAGAGAAAAGAACGAGACCGATGGTTCCGCGGGGGATACGGGAGAGGGGAGGTGGGAGAAAGAAAAGGGGGTGGGGAAACCAACCCAGGGACAAGGGAACAACAAATTAACAGAAATCAATGGAGAGAAGGGCATAGGATGCCTAGTGGGCTTAATCAAGGGCAATGTAGCAGTGAGGAATTACTAAACCCGAATGAAGGCCGAACATGTTGGTGGGACAAGAGGAAAGTAAGAAGAAATAGAGGAAAGAACCAGTTGAATAAAGGACATTTATAGAGGTGTAATTACAGGCATGTACATATGTCACTATACTTATATATAATGAGAGGGGAATAGATCTATGTACTTATGTCTATATGTTAAGAATTAAGGTTGCAGATGGACATTGGGCCTCGACTCAAGTACTCCCTCAACCCAAGAACACTTTGTTCTAATCCAGCATTCTGTGATGCTCACCTTCCCGACACAGTCACTGAAGACAAAACAGATGCATAAGCAAATGTGGTAAAGAAAGCTGATGGTGTGGGCTAGCAAAAGATATAACATCTGGGGCCTTAAAGGCTTGAAGAGCAACGAGCAGCCATCTACCTGAGAAGTAACAAAGCCCACATGGAAGAAGCATACCAGCCTGTGTGAACATGAGGTGTCTATGGGATCAGGTATCAGGCATCTAAGACCCAGAAAAAATTCATACACAACATGAAAGGGTGGTGTTGGTTGGGGATGGAGTGGAGACCCAAAGCCCATCTGTCGACAATTGGACATCCCCTTACAGAAGGGTCACAAGGAAGAGATGAGCCAGTCAGGGAGCAGTATAGTACTGATGAAACATACAACTTTCCTCTAGTTCTTTAATGCTTCCTTCTCCCCACTATCATGACCTCAATTCCACCTTACAAATGGGATTAGATCAGAACATGCATACTGCTACAGATAAGAGCCTGCAACACAGGGAATCCAGTAGAGATATACCCCTCAGGGCCAACAATGAGAGTAGAGATACCAGGAGGATACGGGGAAGGTGAGGGGAGAGAGGGGGAATAGATCACAAGGATCAACGTATAACCCCCTCCCAAGGGGACGAACAACAGAAAAGTGGGTGAAGGGATTGTGATAAAAGAGCTGTAAGAGCGCCCTTTCCGCCATCTCCCCGTGCCGCCATCATGGTGCGCATGAACGTCCTGGCCGACGCTCTCAAGAGCATCAACACTGCCGAGAAGAGAGGCAAGCGCCAGGTTCTCATCAGGTCATGCTCCAAAGTCATTGTCCGGTTTCTCACTGTGATGAAGCACGGCTACATTGGTGAATTTGAAATCATTGATGATCACAGAGCTGGGGAAATTGTAGTGAGCCTCACGGGCAGATCAAACCAGTGTGGCGTGCGTGATCAGCCCTAGATCTGGCCTGCAGCGCAAAGATCTAGAGACGTGGCAGAACAAGCTGCGCTCCTCCCGGCAGTTCGGTTTCTTCGTGCCGACGACCTCCGCCGGCATCATGCACCATGAGGACGCCAGGCGAAAACACACGCCAGGGAGGGACAATCCTGGGCTTCTTTTTCTAGGGATGTAATGTATCGAAACAAATAAAACGCCGAATGGGGGGGGAAAAAAAAGGCCGTAAGAGCCCCCATTAGAAGTATTAAAAAAAAAAAGGCAACAACAAAAAGAAGCCCTGGTGGTATAGTGGGCTATGCATTCAGTAGCAAAGTGAGTCCTTATTTTTATTTTTCAATTTATATTTCAAAACAAACACTCCATTTTGATATGCTCATGTATTATGCTTTTCTCTTTCATTTTTCATAAACTAGACACTATTAGTTACAGAGCAGAACCGGCTTCCTTGATTGCAAATGTGTAAGGCTTGTTCTTCCTTCTCTCAATATTAGGGCCCTCGGAATTAGAGATGACTATGGGGGCTCCTCAGTATAACCAGCAACAAGCTCCACCAAATCAGACCGCCCCCTGGCCAGAGAGCATTCTGCCTATTGACCAGACATCATTTGCCAACCAGAACAGGTGAGTCCAGTTCATAAATTCTGTAAGTTATTTTAAACCTACATGTGATGGTTAACAGGAGCTCTGGTGACATGGTGGTTACACATTGGCTACTAACTTCACGGTCAGCAGTTCGAAATTAGAAGCCACTCTGTGGGGTAAGAGAAGGCTTTTCTGTTTCTGTAAGAGTTACAGCCTTGAAAATCCGCAGGGACACTTCTGCCCTGTCCTGCAGGGTCACTGTGACTCAGAATCACAGTGAGTTTGGATTTGTTTGTTTGTTTGTTTGTTTGTTTTGGTGATGGTTCCATTTGTTTGTCAACTTGGCAGGCCATGCTTATCAGTATTGTGTAATTATCCTTCATTTGTTATCTAAAATAAGGGGAGTTTTTTAAGTGTATCCAATACATTGGGATGTTCTGGCAAAGCTCACTCATTCTCACTGCTCATCCTTCTCTGACTCGTGGTTCGTGGGATGTGAGCCAGCAGCCTGCCACCTGACCTGACTCTGAGTCAGCAGCCCATGCAACCACTTGAGTAAGGAGAAGCCTCCAGCCTGACCCCAGGAGTGGGGAACTTGCCAGCCTGCAGAACTGTGTTAGCCATTTTCCTGAAGCCATGTTCAAGCAAACCAACCCTTCTTCCAGAGAAAGATACAGCTGTCTGTCTGCATAGGATTTACACTCTCAGAAACCCTAAAGAGTAATTCTGCTCTGTCCTTAGAGAGCTACCAGGAGTCAGAATCTACTTAATGGCAGAAGGTTTGGGGTTTTTTGCTTTTGTATATAATTGGGGCTTCAAAAATTTCAGTTCTCTTTTACTTCGTACTCTGTTTCTCTCTCTGCCCTTCTCTCCCCCACTCCCCGCACTGGTTAACACCTTTCAACTCAGCCTGAGATATGTTAAAGGCTTCTCTTTTTCTCTTGAACGTAGGTTCCTGGCTGGTTCATTTGTTCAGTTGACACTGTCTGCTGGGCAGGGAGTGGAGGTAGAGCAAATCCAGAAGTTCAGTAAGACTTGGAACGTGCCTTCAAAGAAGTTATCATTTTAGTTGGAAAATAAAATGTGGACACTGATAACTAATTATAAATGACCTAAGAGAAATAAACTTTGTTTCAGGTAGTCATGCCCTTAGGATATTAGAGAAGGCGTCAGTACCTTGAAAGGGTATGATTTCGAGGGGCAAACATGACAGCAAGCCAGTCCAGCCAGGGAAGCAGATGGGCAAAGTCCAGAGCGACACAGACACTGTGGGGGGTGGGGGTGGGGGGTGGGGGCACTAGTTTGGGGCCAACGTAAGGTCCGTGAAGAGCAGGATTATAAGGTCTGACTGAACGAGTAGAATAGTAATAATATAGATTATGGAGGTTCTTAAAGACCAAACTTGGAAGAATTTAAACTTTTAAGCCTTTGAAGAAATTTTTGACCTTGGAAATGGTATGTAGTGGGACTTGATTGAGTCTTTGCTTTGCTTTTTGCCAATCTTAATTGTTTTTGTTTCTTTGTAAGTCACATTTTCCATATAATTGTTTTTAAAATATTCTTTGTTCTTGCTAAGTTGTGGTTTTACTATACTATGTCTACGTGTGAGTTATTTCTTTATCCTGCTTGGTATTTGGAATATGTGTATTGTATTTTTTTAAAAAAATCTGTGGTTTCATATTACAAATTCTAGAAATATTTCAACCAGTATCTCTGTATATCTTTTCGTTCATTTTCTCCATTTTTTCTGGGACTCTTAATTAATTAGATGAGTGTTTCAGCTTCTCTTTAGATTAGGTTTTAGGTTTCATGTTTGGCTTTGTGTCCCAGTTTCCCCCTTCGTTCTGGCCTCTTTAATTCACAATCCCCTTTACTAAAGACGCCTCATTGATGTTTAACTCAGTTGTGCTTTTTGTTCCCCAGCGTTCTTTGAGTTATTTTTCGTAGTCTTATGATTTCTCACTCTGTAATCCTCTCTTCATCTGTTTAAACATCGCATTCATCCTTATTTTCTCAGAAATTGTTCTAAGTCCTGTGACCTGTTTCCCTGCACATTTTGGAGGGAGTTTATAGTGAAACTGTGTGGGGGGTGGGGTGGGGGTGGGGGACCACTCCCTTACCATGCTGCCCTCCAGAGGGGATTTGCATGTGTTTCTCCCAGAAGCAGCAGTCACTGCTCACCTGGGGCCACTCCAGCCTAGTTCCAAGTTCCTTGAACTGAATCCAGCAGACTGGGCCACTCTTGACTTTGCTGCTTTGCGGTGCAAGCCTCTCGTCTGCAGAATGAGTAAAAGTGCACATAGGGCCTCAGAGCAGGCTCAGGCTGGTGCATCCTGTTTTCCTCTTTGAGAATTCCCTACTTTCTGCAGACCTAACATTGCCATAAAAATCCCGGATTGCGTCATCATCATTATAGAAGTTCCACGGGGAACATAGAAGAAATGAGAGGGGGGCTTCTGCCGGTTTGGCTGGGTGGACAGCCAGATAGCCCAAGGCATGCAAGTTCATTGGAGCCTGGGCTGGAGGCAATGTGGAGATGAAAATGATGCAGGCACCATTTTCCTTGAAGTCAACTAATGAGGAAGCGCAGACCGTTCACCTTTACATTGACTGCTGGAGAAATCTCACGTGGAGGCTTGCGTGTGAGGAGTTGACCCAGCAGTTCAGTAGACACTTGACCACAGATTGAGCATTTTGCCCTAAAGGGATTCGTGCTCCAGTCCGTAATTATGTAATAAGTGGTCACATCCTTACATGATACGGGCACCAGGATTGCTGGAATCTCCTGCCGGGGGATATATTGCCAGGGCCCCTGCCTGGTTCTGTTCTGGTTTTCAAGCACAGGCTGCATCGTGAGGCCTCGTCTGGGCTGTGTCATGCTTTGTCCTTGTCAACAGGGCACAGGTTCAGGATTAGGGGTTATGGTGCTCATTTTTCTCTGTACCTTCAGGAAGTAATGAAGAGATCAGAAGGTTCAGTGAGTAAGAAATATACCACAGAACATGAATGTGGGCCCAACATTCGAGTATGTGAAGGGAAAGATTTTGTTACCTTCTTTTCCCAGAGGGTGGGAGGGAAGAACTGCTGGGTGAGGGTTAAAGAGAAGCAGGGTGCCGGCTGATTGTGAAAATGACCTGAACGCCTCTGACTTCCCTGTTGCCCTGTGGCAGACGTGCTCCACCTCCCTCTCTCTTGACCTCCGCTGACATGAATGGACTGTTCCCCACCGCAGTAAACACACCGAGCACACAGCTATACTCAACAATTACAGAGGCTTTTTTTAGGGAGGTAGGTTAGGACCAGGAAGCAGAAAAGATACGGTCATTGGTTCACAGCCACGCCTCTCCTCCACCAGCAGCCAAGTCTCCCTGTAGAGGGAGCCTCTCAGCCACGTGGTTCCTTGGTGTCTGCCTCCATGGGCCAGAAAGCCAGCCCATTGCTCAGCCTCATGCTGCTCCTCTGTTCTGTCTCGTGATTTCCTTGCCTCAGCCTCTGGTCTCAGCCAGGCTCTATTGCTCTGTCTTATGTGCTCTCAGATGGTTTCCAGCAGGTGCCTCTGCCACTTCAGATCTGGAGTGTGCTCTTCTGAGGGTCCTGGGATTCCTTTGATAAGAGTTGTGGTTTTGTCTTTTAGTAGATATAGAGGACACCCCCTAAGGCAACAAAGGATGTGCTGTAGTTCACACTACTAAGGTCAAGACTCAATCCTGTCTATTTGTGTAGCAGAGAACTCCCTCCAAAGAGGGATGATAGCCTCAGGCATAGAGTACACAATTACAATACATCACATAAGGAATCGTGGCTTTATGGCTCTAACTCTTTGCCATCAAGTTGATTGAGTCCTTGACCCAACAGGACCCAGTAGATCTACCCTTGTAGGTTTCCATGACTGTCAATCTTTATAGGAGTAGAAAGCCTTATAACTATCCTGTGGAGCATCTGGTGGGTTTGAACCACCAACCTTGCAGTTAGCCCATCAATGAGTTACCCACAACAACAGCAGGGCTAACAGGGTCGTATTCATTAGCTACATCTCATCCAAGTTAGGGGGATAAGTAAAGACTAGTGTTTCTCAGACCTCCCTGTGCCTATGAGCTACCTACCTCTGGGGTCTTGTTAAAACGGTGTTTCCCAATCATCAGCTGTAAAGAGACCACAGGGACAAGAGTCTGGGTTTATAAGCCCCCCCACCCCCCCAGGTGATGCCCACTGCCGCCCCTCCAGCAGGACTTGGAGTGGAAGCAAAGCAGTGGAAGAAGAGACAGGAAGAACCTCCAGCAGAAAGTGGATCTCATTGGATGAGCTGCTGAGAGATAGTCGTGTGCTCACCATCCCTGGAGTAGCTTACAGACAAGCCAGCCTTCTTTATCCCTCACCAGCATTCTTCGGGTAGTAAGTTTCTCACGGCCCTTCCACTCTCTGATTTCATGGTGCCAATGAGTGCTGTGCTATTTCTAAATATATTTGCTTAATTTTTTTAAGAGCCACCCATTTCCATGGCAACATACAGAATACAATTGCAGTAAAATAATTAAATCCAGAAGCTGATGGTTGTTTTTGTACGAAACGTCAAGGCTAGTTTCTAGGGAAAACTCAGGCTAAAGTTAGGACTTTCACTGTTGGCCAAACAGATGAAAGTTCTGTGAAGACAAAACTGGAAGGCTTCCAGAGGTATGCAGCCCAATTACAGAGCGAGCCGCTTGGCTTGCAAAGCAGGTCTGACTCAGCACTGCCCCTCCTGTTGCTGCTTCTGTCGCATCTGACAGCTTTCTGTGTGTAAGAACTGTGACCACAACAGCTTGTCACCACTTTGTAAAGTCATTTTAGTGTTTTAGCCACTTCTCTCACTTATTTCGTCTTACATAATACCGTGGGAAGGAATTTATAGCCAGCTTTATGGTAACCTTCTTGTCAAAGCAATTCAAAACGGATGAATAACAAAATCCCACTATGCTTTTCTTTTTAAAATAAAAGGAAAATAGTGCTGTTTCTTTTTTTTACAGTCTGGAGTTTATATTCTTACTGTATCTTTATTTAGAAGCAAGTGTTTTAATTTTACAGACCCAGCAGTAGTTTATATATACACTATAAAAGCACAGTAACTTAGGCCTTATGTCTATAAGGTATGTGCCTACTCATAAATGTATAGCTCAATTTCCATCTTCTGTAGTATCATTTTGTGTTGTGTCCCCCTCCCTCCCACAGCCCTCCCATTCACCTGGTATATGAAATAGATAATTAAAATACAGCTCAGATGTTTATAAACCCAAACTTACTGCCATTGAGTCAGTGGTGATCATTACGACCCACCGTGGGTTTCTGAGACTGTAACTGTTTAAGGAAGTAGAAAGCCCAGTCTTTCTCCTGTGGAGCTGCTGGTGGTTTCAAACCGCCAACGACAAGGGTCGAAGCCCAACCACTACACCAGTAACCACTACATCACCAGGTTTCTATTCATGATGGATCCATTGTTAATGCCTTTTCTGGTTACTTACTCGTTTGCGCCAGCCTGGGGCCTGTGTGCAGATGTTTTTTAAAAGGCGGCAAAATACCAAACAGTTGCTGTCAAGTATTCCAATTTGAGAAGACCCCATTTATGTCAGAGTTAAAGGATGTTTGATTTTCCAGAAGTAGATCCCCAGGCCTTTATTTCAAGGCACCTCTAACATCCAGCCGTTCACTTGAGTGGGATGGCTGTTGGCACCAGCCCAGATCTCCCTGGATACATTCTACTGTTGTTTTTAGTTGCCCTTGAGTCAGCTCTGACTCATGATGACTCTACATGCAACAGAACAAATGTTGCTCTTCATGAGTGCTGTGTGTGTGTGTCCACTGCGTCTCGCTGAGTGTTATTGTGGTCCTCTGCCTCATTGAGTCTTCCCTTCATTGTTGCTGACTGCCAACCATGATGCCCTTTTCTAATGGTGGCTCTCCTCATCATGTGGCCAAAATTAGGAATCCAAAGCCTTGCCATCGTCCCTTCTAACTGGCTACAGTAGGAAACTCCTGTAGAAGACGTGTGCTGGGTGTATGTTCAAGGACTGGGTCCACCAAGAAAGAGGGCGTGCGTGACTCCTGTTCTGACTGGACACAGTTTTACGCAGGCACTGATAACACCAGGGTCAGTATCACTTCAGCATAGCATGGGGCAAGTGGTGCTTGAGCTGAGGGAGACTGTGTGGCTGTGGAGGAGGTTGGCTGGCCATGATGGAGCTGTACCACCTTGCTAGTGGCAAGTTCAGAGAGTGTGGGTTTTGTCAGATGGAGACTACCAGCCTTGGATGGAGGTACATAGGCGGGCCCTTCTGAGGAAACCAACAAAAATGGAAGGTGGCGGAATGAAGCTTAAAAAAAAGAAAACTCACCCATGCTGCATTTACTACCACACATTCTTGGGGAGTGAGGGCTTGGGAAGAGAATTGAGGTACCAGCCATCCTTGGCTGACTAGAACTCTGATGAAATCCTTCACCTCATCCAGATGGTCACCCCTCTTGGGGAATTTCTCCTCCCTTGACTTCCGTGACATGCAGCTGTGTGGTTTTCACCTGCTGCTGCTGCTGCTGCCGCTGCCGTCCTGTGTCTAAGAAGCCCCAGCTCCGAGGGTCGGAGTGTTAGTGGAGCTTGGGACGGAACTGGTGGGCCGCACACAACATGCTAGCTTAGTGATTGTAGTTGTGCAGCCTGGTCGAGAGGCCTTGGCAGCTAAGGGAAGGCAGGCTTGGAGCAGGTGACATCCGGGAAGGAACCTTCATTGAGAGAGTAAGCTAAAGGGAGAGATTTGCTTTCACAGTAACTAGGGAGAAATGGAAAGTCCAGCTTGCTTTTTAATGTACTATAACTATTTGAAATTCGTTGTTTGTTTTAATTATTCAGCATTTCCTTATTTTAGGATTCTAGACCAAAGTAACATATCAGGCTGTCAGGGGTGAGGGTAGAGGGACATACACTGAACGGGGTGAGATGATTTCGTAACTTGATGAACTTAACACTAGTTTGAAGGAGGTGTAACGTACCTGTAACCTTTGTGCAGAGCATCATATAGTAACTCTAAGAATGCAAAATAGGTAAAATACAGCCTTTTGTTTTTGTTTTCTTTTAGTATTAAGGGAACTCACAAATTATATTTTTTAAACTCCCCCAGTTCATCAACTAACTTAAATTATTCAGGTTTCATAGACTGTAGAGTTTGGAACTTAGTGTTAGAATTTTATTGCTCATTACCATAAAACATCAAACAGAGTTTGTCTCCTCAGGACTCTCCATTTCTGACGTGTGTAACTCAGGAAGGTGAGCTGCCACGCTTCTTAAGGGGCTTCAGTAATGATACAAATCCTGCTGGTACTTGACTCTGACATTGACAAGTGTCCAACCAAATTCAGTCTAGTTGTTTCTGAGCTGAAAATAAAAAACCACGTAGCAGAGCTTTGTTGTTGATAGTTATTTAGTTTCTCCTTGCTGCGGCACCATCGCCCGGTAGAATGTCCATCATGCCCAATGCTATCTATAGTTTGCTGTACTCCACACAGCCAGTGCATTTGCAGTCATTCCATCAAACACGGGTGAACATTTTTTCCCTAATTTCAGCAGGAATCCTACCTAAACAATGAGAACTCTCATCCCACATTCTCTTCTGAATCCAACCTGAATTTTTGTCAAATGTGTGTATGTTTTGGTCTCATTATTATGTACATCTAGTGTAGCGGTTCTCAACCTGTGGGTCGTGACCCCTTTGGGGGTTGAATCACCCATTCACAGGGGTCCCCCAATTCATAACAGTAGCAAAATTACAGTGATGAAGTAGCAGCAAAAATAATTTTATGGTTGGGGGGCGGGGCACCACAACATGAGGTGCTGTATTAAAGGGCTGTGGCATTAGGGAGGTTGAGAACCACTGGTCTAGTGTATTCTAAATCCTAATGGCCTTGTGTCAAGAGAACAAAACACTACTCGATCCTGCCCCACCCTTACCGACCTGGCTGTGTTTCAGCCCGTGTTGTAGCTCCTGTGTCAGTTCATCTTATTGAGGATCTTCTGCTTTTTCTTTTGTGTGTGTGACTCTCAGCCTTAGCAAATATGACATCCTTCTGTAGGGATAGGTCTCCTGATATCATGCCCAAAGTACTTATGAACTTTCACCATCCGTGCGTTTAAGTAACCAATCTGGCGGTACGTCTTTAAAGCAAATGTTTATGTTTTGGTCATCCATGGTATATTTAATATTCATCACCAAAATCATAATTCAAAGACATCAGTTATCCTCATTCATCCTTAGTCATTGCCCCAGCTTTTGCATGAATATGAGACAAATAAAACTGTCCCACGTGTTGAGGGAGGTAGTGTAGTATTGTGTAAGGGAATGAGCCGGAGGCACTGGAAGCAGATTTGCATGGAAATCTCAACCTCTCAGTGTTTACCTTGTGCTCCTTAAAAAGCAGGGTAACCTTTGTAAGCCTCACCTTTGCTATCTCTAAATTGAAGGTAATGAAAATCATGTTGGGTACCAAGATTTGTGTCCTGCCTGCCTTTGGCGCTGGGTGAATTGCCATCTATTGTTGTAGATTGTCATTTGGTTTCCCAGTTGGGCTGGTACAGTAGTTTACACCGGACCCTGGAAGTCAAGTGGGGAAGAAAAAAAAGGTCTAAAACCATTTCTCCCTGTTCATAGGACTAAAACGATGTTTATGTCTTTGCAGGCAGCCATTTGGGAGCTCTCCTGATGACTTGCTGTGTCCACATCCTGCATCTGAGTCTCCGAGTGACGAGGGGACGCTCCTAGATCAGCTGTATTTGGCTCTGCGGAACTTTGACGGCCTGGAAGAGATTGACAGAGCTTTGGGAATACCCGAGCTGGTCAGCCAGGTGGGTGGAGAGGAACCAATTGGGCCCAGGCTCTCTGTGGGGCACAAATGGTCCATTTTCCTTGGTTAACAGATAATCCACAGTCTGCCTCTTAGAATACTTTTTTCCCTTATTATAAACTGCCTCATTTTGCCACTATTTTTTAAACTTTTTGCCCAGGAATGGAAAATACTGAGCATGTGATTTGGGTCGTTGGGCTGGAAGTCAGAAACTCCAGTCCTTACTCCCAGAAAACGTGTAACGAGACCGGCACATTTTGATTCTGGTGGTCGAGAACTCACCAGCAGCTACCGGACTCTTCTGTAGCCTGGGGTCTTTGTGCTGGCCTTGTCATCATGGGCTAGTTGTGCCCAGAAAATCTTTTCTACATAGCCTGACAGGTTATCTCAGAGGGAGCAGTGGTAAAAGTTAATGATTTGCCTTTGTGTGAATTTAGTTCACAATAATTATCTGCAGTATTTAAGCACAGTGGAATATAAAGAAGTAACCTTAGCATGCTTGTTTTCCTACAGCAGTCATATCATAAATAGCTTCACATAGTCTCGTACAATAGCATAGTGCTCTCTGAATCTTGCCAGTCCTTTATTATATTCTATAAAATATAAATGAGTTTGTGTGAAGCAGGACATCCCAGTTTACTGTACAAGAGAAATGGGGGGCAGGGGGATGACTTGACCTTCCCTGTTTTTTTTAACTGTTCTCCTTGCGTTACCTGGTGTGAAATGCCCTGTTACCAAAAAGTACCTTCTGAGATCTACTTCTTGGACGTAGGACGAGTCTTCAGGGTCTGAGCGAGTGTGTGCAGAGTCGGTGGGGATTTCTCCGAAGGATTGAAATAGCCTTGTTACACTTCCCACAGTCGCACACACACGTGGCAGTGGAGGGAAGAAGTGGCTGAGGTGACAGATTGTCACCTGAAATAAATCAAGAGAGGAAAATAGAGCTTAAATCTCTCTTGTGGCTGATTCACTTTGCTTTTAGTGCTGGAGTTAACATTCAGTATTATTTTCCTTTGGTTGCTAAATCAGTTTATAAGATTGTTTTTATCAAAACTAGCATCATTTTGTCATTTCATATTTTCAGTCCCCTTTTTTCACTTATTTGTATTATTTTCACTTGGATTCATCAAAACCATCAATATCGTATCATTCTTTTAAATCATCAAAATATGATTACTAGGTAGAATCAGAGGAAGTGAACTTTGTGTGTTCTTATTGTAATTACATGAGGGTAAGTCAAAAAATATTGCTATTAAAGGTTCCAGCTAACACATGCATGAGTTTATTCCAAACAACACGAGTTTAAGAATGTCCTTGCCGTCAGTGGATTGCTGCAGACAAGTTCGTTCAGTAATACACTTGTCTTGGTCTCATTAGGGTGCCTTTGAGGGAACGAGGGTACTATTAAGGTCTTAACAAAACGACAGCTTCCCAAGTCATCGAAGCTTGGCAACGCATGTACAGGAGTGCTGCCCCGCATAAGAGGGCCCTTTGTAGATGAGCTAAGAGAGAGGGAAGGCTTAGCTGACAAAGGAAACTTACTGAACTTCAGAAACTGGTGGGAGGAGAGACTGTGGAGTTACCAGTGGTGCTCACTACCACAGTTGAGATCTCACATGGTTCCGAATTTTCATTTCCGTGAACACTTTGGCCTCAGCAAGCCTTCGGCTAGATGAATACCAAAAGTGCACGCAAAAATGAGCTAGCTCAGAGGCCAGTCTTTCCATTCGTCTTTTGTGCACAATTGGAGCTGGCGAAGACAATTTTACGGAACAAGTTACAACTGGGGACAAGTCTTGGATTGACAACCGCAATCCAGAGGGAAGTCCACTCAAAACACCGGCTTCCAAAGTGATGTGCTGGGCCGAACCGCTTAGTTCAAGACAGCCAGTTTGGCGCAGAGGTCCTGGTGACTGGTGTTTGGAATTCCAAAGGGTTCAACTTAAGAAAAGTTCTCCAAAGCCACAGGGAAGCCTAGGGACTTACCAGGGAAAGGGTTGGGGTTTGGTTTTTTTTTAGTTAAAAACTGCATTGTTGAGAAAAGAGTCAATAAAGTAGCATTGAGGATTTTTTTCTCATCACAACAGTGTGCCAACTTATTTTTCGAGGGTAGCAAGAATTTCACTGGGAAGCGTTGCCTCATCAACTTCACAGCTCTGACCTTGCCCCTTCAGACTTCTTTGTGTTCCCCAAACTCAAAAGAAAATGGAAAAGAACATAATTATATCATTTGAATCCCTCAAGAGTGCCAAAACTGCCTTTGTGCGGTGGTGGAGATGGAAGGGCTCCGAGTTCTTTTCGGGGAGGGGTTAGAGAGATGCAGCCCCCACCTTCAGAAGTACATCGACCTACACAGAGGATGATGCCCACACACAATAGCTTCATATTTTGACGTTGTTCAATAACGGTTTCTCTGACTTTATAGCGATAACTTTTTTGACTTACCCTTGTATATATGCAGAATTGATTTTTCCTCTCTGCTAGAGATTTGTAAATATTTAAAATTCTTTTGTAGTTTTGTATGTATTGGCAGCAGCAATTCAACAAAAGACCGTTTCCCCTGCCTAAGCTGCAGCTACGTTTTAGCAACATCACAGGTGCCTGCTCTAATACACGGAGACTGGTTTGACCCAGGAAATTGCCAGACTAAAAATTCATTGAGGGTTTTTATTACTGCTGGGGTCCTCCCTCCGTACATCAGGAGAGGAGGAGGAGGGGGAAGACAAGAGTCACCCTAAATAAGTCTTTTCTCGAACTCTGCTACTAGACATTTAAGTCCATCTGGTCTGAAGCACTGCTCTTGTAGGAGTTCTGAGCTTTCTACACCTCTCCCACACTGACCCAGAAAGATAAGCTAGTCCTGAGAAAGGAAGAGTAACAAAAAGATTGTTTCCTCCCACAGATAACACATCCCATGTAAATAGCACAAACACATATAGTCCTCATCGTGCACATAACAAGATAACACACGGGGAAGCCGCACAGTGTGCAGAAACCATGTGACACACTCGCGTGATTTATATAAGGATGCAGTCAGTATGTCCAGTAGGCAGTAAGAGGATGGTGGTAAAATGTGGGGCGTTCTGGTGGCAACAGATACTGGTGTCCCCCACTATGGAAGCGTTAGGTTCCTGGGTTGGAACGCAGTGCTTACTAGCTGCATGGCTTTGTTGCAGCCTGCTTCATGCCGCAAACTGTTCCAGGGAATTGTCCCTTTAAAATGATTTACACAAGGAAAGAATAACCAATCCAGATCCTTAACCTTAGCTGGGGGATATTTGCTGCTTAAAGTTTGGAGCCATTCTCTGATTGGTAGAGGGAGTAAGAGGCAGTGGGGTGAATACTCATGGCCCATGTCTCCCCCTCCCCTGGAAGCAGTGTTTGTGGGTGTCCACTCTGCTACCTCTGTTGTGTAAGGTGGCTCTGTGAAACCGAGAAGTATTTTCTCGAGAGACAAGTGGGAGCCGCCTGCGGGCCCTTTGTAGTAAGTAATAATTAGCCAGCTGCGTATACATGATGGGAGTGAAAGCAGCCTGGTCTTCACATTGCTGTTTCTCATGGCCTCATCCGTGTGTTCTCTGGGGCTTTTTCTTTAGAGCCAAGCTGTAGATCCAGAGCAGTTCCCAAGTCAGGAGTCCAACCTCATGATGGAGCAGAAGGCCTCTGTTTTCCCACCACAGTATGCGTCTCAGTCACAAATGGCCCCCAGTAGCTATACCCCCATGCAAGATCCAAACTTTCACACCATGGGACAGCGACCGAGTTACGCCGCACTCCGAATGCAGCCTCGACCAGGCCTGCGCCCCACTGGCCTCGTGCAGAACCAGCCAAATCAGCTGAGGCTTCAGCTGCAGCACCGCCTCCAGGCACAGCAGGTGAGTGCCCCCAGAGGTCCCTGGGAGAGCTGGGGGACAGCCAGTGATGAGCCATGTGACATTCCAGGGGCTGTCTCATCGCGCCCTTCGCCCTTCTCCGAGGGTGGAAACATGTCCAAGGTGATCCTGTCATTTTCATACTCCTTTCACCTTCGCTTCTTTTCTTTCTTTCCCACTGACTCACTCCACTGTAGCGCATCTGTCCTTTTATTCTGTCTTTCTTCTGGTTACTCAAATCCTGATCTCTCTGGGCATGTTTAAAATGGGACTTTGTGTGGATGTAGGTCAATATGTGTACATTTAAAGAGCCTAGCATTATGAAAGGGGAGTGCGGAGTGGAGACCCACAGCCCATCTGTCGACAATTGGACACCCCTTAGAGTAAGGTGACCAGATTTAACATTGGTAAAGTGGGACAAAAGCGGGACACCGTTGATAAAACTCATATCCTGGCGAAATAGCCACATGGCAGCCGAAAACCGTCTACCCTAGCTTGTCGTGTATTCTTTCCAAAAATCAGGACTTTTTTAAAACATCGCGGGACGCAGGAAAAATTGTTAAAAATCGGGACTGTCCCACCCGCCAAAAGTGGGACGTCTGGTCACCTTACCTTAGAGAAGGGTCACAAGGAAGAGAGGAGCCAGTCAGGGTGCAGTATAGCACCAATGAAACATACAGCTTTCCTCTGGTTCTTTAATGCTTCTTTACCCCCCCCCCACTATCATGACCCCAATTCTACCTTACAAATCTGGCTAGACCAGAGCATTTACACTGGTACAGATCAGAGCTGGAAACACAGGGAATTCAGGACAAATAAACTCCTCAGGAACAATGAGAGTAGCTATACCAGGAGAGTAAGGGGAAGGTGGGAGGAGAAAGGGGGAACCGATCACAATGATCTAGCTATAACCCTTCCCAGGGGAATGGACAACAGAAAAGTGGGTGAAGGGAGACATCGGACAGTGTAAGACATGATAAAATAATAGCAATTTTTAAATTGTCAAGGGTTCATGAGGGAGGGAGAAAAATGAGCTGATACCAAGAACTCAAGTAGAAAGAAAATGTTTTGCAAATGATGATGGCAACAAATGTACAAATGTGCTTCACACAATGGATGGATGTATGGATTGTGATAGCTGTATGAGCCCCCAATAAAATGAATTTTTAAAAATTAAAATAATGAGCCTAGTGTTGCCTGGTCCAGAATGTGCGTATGGAAAATTGCTGCCGTGACTGCTGTTTGCTGGCATCTGCCGTCACTGTTAGCTGAGGGTGGCAGGGAGAGGCTGCCACGTGGAATCGTGCTTAGCTCAGAGAGAGGTGTTCCCATTCCACAGTCGAAAAATAACTTGTCAGTTATAAGCTGATAACTAGCATTAAGTGAGAATTCACGTAAAATGAATATCCAACAATATGCAGAGTAGAGACTTAAGGAAGGCACTTGGGTAAAGTGATTTGCAATAAAATCTATTAAAATGTATATATTGATTCCTATGTGTATGTATTTAGAATCGCCAGCCCATTATGAATCAGATCAACAATGTTTCGAATGTGAACATGACTCTGAGGCCCGGAGTGCCAACACAGGTAAGGGAGTTGATGCTGGGCAGTCCCCGCTTCTAAGCTCTGTCTGGTGTACCCATTTCACCTCTCCTCTGTTCTCATCCTGCTCGCTCTCCTGAGTACAGTAACGGATCCACCCAAAAGATTTGGACCAGCCTCCTGGGCCTATAACACCACTCAATGATCCATCTAGCCCTTCTCTTTCGGCATTCCCTTTTAAACTCTACCATTCATCGCCAGGTACAGTCCCTTCTGGTTAGAATCCTGTTAGTCAAAACAGTTGTGTTTTGTAATACTGTTGCAAACACTAAATTGCCTAATACAGAAACCATACCTCCTAAGGAAATACAGAACAGGCTCCCTCGGGCCTCTGGTCAAAACATTGTTGTCAGCTGATCCACACACAACCTTGTTTCATGTGCTTCTGTGACCCCTGATTTTGCTTATTTTGTTCATTAATATCGAACTCACACAGGAAGCAAAATCCATCTCCTCAAGGCAAAGCTCAGGCTTCTAGCGCTTGGGAACATAAGCAAAATTCCCAACATACAGCACAGAAATGTGTAAGGCAGGGCCTCGCCGTTGGAAACACACATGTTGGGCAGCTCACGTTGTACTGCTCTGCGCATGGTTGGGGAACCAGGGTTCAGAACAAAGGCTCCAGCCAACCCAAACTGACTCTCGGCACAAGTAGGAGGGAAAGGAAAATAAGCCTGAAACCAGGGAATGATAGGCATCTTGGGAAATCTGCTAAACACGTTGCTGAGCTAGAGATTGAATTGCCTTTTGTCAGACGAAGCTCATCCTGAAGTCACCAGGCCATTGGGATAAGCACCTGTGATTCAAACTTCCTTGACTAGAGGAAAAAATGAATTTCTCATGTCTTTATGTCTGGAGGTAGGTTTAGCACTGGAACCACACACTGGTTAAGGTTAAGCTTCTACCACCCCTGGGCAGTGGGGGCCTGTCTCCTTTCTTGGGTTTCATGCCTGGGTGTAAGATTGGCAAGAGACCAAGGTCTTGGTTAGCTTTGCACAGACTTAAACGTGCATCACACAGAGGCAGAAAGAGACTTAGAGTCACAAGCTTTCTAAAATAAGTGCTCTCAGAAAAGTGGCAAGTAGAAGGGGGCTCTTTTGTTTTTCCTTTCTCCCCGCCACCGCCACCCCCAACTTTAGAGAACCCAGCCTTTCCCTCTTGTTGATTTCTTTTTGGGTTCTTACCAAACCATCTCGCCTATCTCTGATCAGCCTATCCCTTGAATGAGACCCTACACTGCCATTTTCAAGACCTCTGTTACAGAGTCTTGATACAACTGATGTTATTTAGAAGTTCTTTAAGTAACTGTCCTCTTAAAATCAGTCCACCATACCTTGATATAAACTATGTGAACTGTAATCAGGTTTCAAATAGTCATCTGATTGGTTATCCACATAGAACTCTTCACACTTAAGTACAGGTCGTACTTAAGACCACTGGGGATTCCACTCTGAGATGTTCTTTCCTCACAAGTTGCCATGAGGCGGGAGCTTTGGTTATTCTGTCTATGATACAGTTTTTGTGTCAATCTGGATCTGTCCCCAACATTTTCCTCCATGTGTTGCTCTGATTTCAGGGACCTATTAATGCACAGATGTTGGCCCAGAGACAGAGAGAAATCCTAAACCAGCATCTCCGCCAGAGACAAATACATCAGCAACAGCAAGTTCAGCAACGAACTTTGATGATGAGAGGACAAGGGTTGAACATGACTCCGAGCATGGTGGCTTCTGGTGGTATACCAGCAACTATGAGCAACCCCCGGATCCCCCAGGCAAATGCACAGCAGTTCCCATTTCCTCCAAACTACGGTACTGGACTTCCATCCCCACCACCCTTCACCAGTCCTTTCTCCCCGGTGTCCCCCAGTCCCGGGTCACAGCTCCTCTCTCACAGCTCTGTGCATGGCTCCCAGATGACTCTGGCTAACCAGGGGATGATAGGCAACCCGGGAGGACAGTTGGGGCCTGTCAGGAGTCCCCAAATCCAGCACAGTACCTTCCAGTCTCTCAGCTCAGGTACCACCTTTTCTCTGGGTGTAGATCTTACGTTAAGAATGACCGAAGTAAGTGTGCGTGTGTGCAGTGTATCTGTCTGCCGTGGGTCTGAGTGTGTATGAATAGATGTGCTAATGTCCATTTTGGTTCACACGGACATATTTATTTATATTTGTATTTGAAGCTCTGAGTCTGACTGAAACAAATCAATAAATACATACAAAATGCTGAAAGATATATAGAAATGTAATAACTATAAACATTTTGCAGCTTTAAAAACATAAAACCTTAAGGATTATACCAAATCTTTAATGACTAGATAATTCTTGAAAAGTGCTATCTATATACCTCATTGATTTCTTCATAATGATTTGTTGTTTATTGTCAGTCTTCAAAGCTAAGTACCAAGTATGTTAATGTCATAAATTCTAAAATGTGTAGTGCTTGTCAGTTAATACTTGCTGATAAAAATGCCGGTGTTAACATTAATATTCAAAATTACTCTCCCTGTCTTATGCCAGAATTATCGATAATTAACTCTAAAATCTTCATGTTGACTAAATGCAAGATTGCAATTGCTTTAAAAAAAACAGAAGTATCATTTGTAGTTTGCTTTCTATGTGATCCGAAGTTAGCTTTTATAGTTTAACTATTAATTAAATGTGCATGCTTTACTAATTATGCCCCAAAAATGATGAGCTTAATGTCATCCCTGAAATTTTCTTTTTTTTTTTCCTCGAATCCCTGAACTTTTCTAAGGAAATTTTCCCCCTTGACTTTCCAACTCCTGTCATTTATTTTCCCTTCTAGTTAGAGAAATCTGATAACACTCATTTTTTTCTTTTTCGCATAAATGACATTCCATGTTTTTACCCCCCACCCCCACAATTTCATATGTTTTTAACGTCTATTGTCTTCTTGCTAATCTGGATAATTCTGTCATACCACAGAGCTCTTTATGGAACAAAATAAGCTAATCAAGAATGCAGTTATTCTGTTTTGTTTAGTAAATATTATTCAGAGGTGTTGGCTTTTACACATAACTGATATTTAATTATTTAGAACCATGTAATTGTAGTTGTTTATCAAAGTTTGATCTAAAGATGGTGCTTTTTATGTCATAAAAAGAGTATACCTATATATATGTATGTATATATATATTTGAGCCATTATTAATTTGGAGCAGAATATAGGGAAGAGAAAAGAGCTTTGGTGGAACTTTGGTTCAACCCCACCAGCTGCTCTGCAGAGAAAGACTGGGGAACCCCAGGTGGCAGTTCCACTCTGTCCTGTCGGGTTTCTGCGAGGCAGAGCCCACTCGGCGGCGCTGGCTTTTTCCCTGAGGAAAAGAATGTCATTTTCTCTCTCTGGCCTGGTTGCCAGCTAGCCCTCTTCACTACTCTGGAGAACAGAGGTGGGCAGAGTTGTTCTGTCTTCATGTAGACTAGCCAGCTTGTGCGATCTTTTGAAAAAAATGTATGTAAAAAGCTTCGATCAAGTAATTGAAAGTAATTGTGTCTGTGTTCAATTTGAAACGTGCTTTTTTCCCCTGCTTACTCTCTGCAATAAAACTAACACCTCCTCTGGATTTTTGTTTTAAGGAATGAGTCAGCAACCTGATCCAGGCTTCACTGGGGCCACAACCCCCCAGAGTCCCCTGATGTCACCCAGACTGGCTCACACTCAGAGCCCCATGCTACAGCAGTCTCCTGCGAACCCAGCCTATCAGGCCTCTTCAGACATGAATGGATGGGCGCAAGGGAATATGGGTGGAAACAGGTAACACCCAACTTTTGGTGGTGTTTTTGATAGAAGGCAATCTCCATAGGAACCACCTGTCTCTTCACTGTAGTTTCTTAACTTCTTTACTCACGGAGGCAATGTCCAGTGAAATGCTACGGAAACCATTTCACTATTCTGAGAGCAGAAATCACCCAAGTTTACAAAAGGTTGCCAAAAACAGAGACCATTTTGGTGCTGGCTTTATATCATTTGTAGAATACCTTTTCCCTGGGAATAAAACTAGGAGGAACTACCGGAAGAAGTGCCAGCCAAAATCAAGCCAGGCCCACTGCCCTTGAGTCGATTCCAGCTCCCAGCCACCCTGTAGAGGGTGTCCCAGGCTACATCTTTACAGGCGCAGAACGCCGCCTCTTGTCTCTGTACAAGGTACCACTCAGCCAGGACTGTAAAAGAAGTCAAGAACTGTTCTTCACTGTGCGTGTGATAAGAAGCAGAGAAACGACAAACAAACCCACTGCCATCGAGTCAGTGCCAACCCATAGTGACAGGGCAGAACTGCCCCTGTGAGTTTCCGGGACTGGTTTCCACCCTTTATAGGAGTAGAAAGTCCATCTTTCTCCCAAGGAGCTGCTGGTGGTTTTGAACTGCTTCCAGTTAGCAGCACCCACTAAGCGCCAGGGCTCCTGTGTAGACATGGCAGTAGTGGGGCACTTAGCCAGACCTCCTTGGTGATTTCGGGACAAAGAAAAGAGCGCGTGCCTCTGCAGCTCAGTGAGCATTTCCCAGCGGCTTCAGACCTCAGCCGCCTCACTGTCTGCCAACAACCCACCCTCAGCCCACTCGACTTAGATGGATGCCTTCACCTTAGGGCCGTGGCTCTCAGCCTTCCTCATGCCACAACCCTTTCATACAGCTCCTCACGTTGTGGGGACCCCCCCAATCATAAAATTATTTTCGTTGCTACTTCATCACTGTCATTTTGCTACTGTTATGAATCATAATGTAAATATCAGATATGCACAATGTATAGTGATCAATCACAAAACACTTTGTAATTATATGCTGTGAAAACTTATGTGTTTTCCGATGGTCTTAGGCGACCCCTGTGAAGGGGTTGCGACCACAGGTCGAGAACCGCTGCTCTAAAGTAAATGCCAGGGAAACAGCATGTCCTCAGAATGCCTGGCACTGTCAGCCCGGGGCTCTAAGGTTGTAATCTCTCTGTTACGTTACAGCATGTTTTCACAGCAGTCCCCACCTCACTTTGGACAGCAAGCAAACACCAGCATGTACAATAACAATATGAACATCAATGTATCCTTGGCGACCAACACAAGTGGCATGAACAACATTAACCAGATGACAGGACAGATCAGCATGACCTCAGTGACCTCTGTGCCTACATCAGGGCTGTCCTCCATGGGTCCTGAGCAGGTAAGGTCCCAGCGAAGGAACAGGAAGCAACCCTTTTCTTTTCCCGATGGGGACTTGTCTGTGTCTGTTTCAGCATGAACTGTAACATGTCTGTAATATCACCCGCTGCCGACGTATACATTTAAGAGCTTATCACCCCCACCCCCTCCCTGCCAAACATGAAACCAGGTGGACAGCAGAGGTCAAACTACCTGCCACTCAGTTCTCCGGAAGTACTTCACGAGAACAGAGAGCAGCGCAGGTCATGCACGAACCGTTCTTTCTTCATTGTACACCTTGAGAATATGGATACCACAAAGATCAGTTGTATTCATTTAATAATTTTGTATTGTGTTGAATGACCCTGAAATGACTCTGCCAGCCCTGAGTAGACGCCAGGGAGACTCAAAGCACTTGAGAGTGCAGATAGCCCGCCATGCACGCGGCATCTCTGCTGGGCTGGCCCAGGAGTGAAAATGAAAAATTAATCCTTTTTAAATTGCATTTACAGACGATATATATATATATATATAATATATATATATATTTTAATGGCACGGTACTTGGCATTTGACCAAAGTCCTCAATAATTCACACAGAGTAAAAATGTCTCAAAGAACCCTAACTCTTAGTTTGCATGTGGAGAAACTGAGGCACAGAGTTTAAAGGACTTAGTGATACATGTTAAAATTGAATGCCTTTGCTAATTTGATATCTCTTTGTATATGTATTTGTGTGTATGTACGATAGTAATAATTATTTGTACTGATAGTTAACATTGTTAAAAAAAACTCAAAAGATATTAAAATGAAAATTTTAAAACACTCACTGCCATTGGTATTTCCTATAACTCAGGTCACACCATACTTGCCCTTTTGCAACTGGCTATTTTATTTCAGGAGTGGATGATGATTCATAGTGACCCATTAGGACAGGGTAGACTCTCCTTGTGAGTTTCTGAGACTGCAACTCTTTATGGGAGTAGAAAGCCCAGTCTGTCTCCTGTGCAGCTACTTGGGGTTTCAAACTGCTGACCTTGCAGTTATCAGTCCAGTGTACTGGCACTGCATTAGGGCATCCAAATGCTTGCTAAACAAACAGAAACATAGCTGCAATGTGTGTCTTCTGACAAAATTAATTCCCCTGTTAGCATGGGTACATGCATTTTGTAATTTGTAAGAGAACAAATGCTAATGAATAGTTTAATTGGTAAGACTAGATTCACAAAAGCCATCACTGTTTTGCATCCTCACACTTGCTCTCACTAATTAATAATCTGCCTAAGTAGCAATGATGTTAGGAGCCTTCGGATGACTTTGAACTCCCAAGTGTGAGTCACTGGTCTAATTTGAAGCAGCCAAGAAACGAATGCGTGTGTGCATGAAAATCTTGCTGGTTTGATCTTCTCCATTGAATTTGATTTCAGTGCCAAATGTAAGTTAATGTGCAGGCTGCGATCACATAAGTATTCATTTTCATGTTTCTGCACATAGTCCCCAAAGCATATTACCTGGGAGAGGTGCTATACCAGGATGAAGCTGTCGCTCAGTAGTTAGTCCCTTTTCCCAGGAGGCAGAGTTAAACACAGGGAAGTCGGTGGTAGGTTGTTCTGCAGAGCACTGTGGGGCATCTGCTGAATGTAGTCTCTTGTTCCCTCAGGTTAATGATCCTGCTCTGAGGGGAGGCAACCTATTCCCAAACCAGCTGCCTGGGATGGATCTGATTAAGCAGGAGGGAGACGCATCACGGGTAAGAAGCACGTGCATAACCGCAGCGAAGTGACCCCGTGGGCCTGGCTCTGTTGTCAAGCAGTCAGTTAAAGATAGCTGCAATACCTGAAAGAGCTTCTCATTCTGTCTGGCTTAAAATATTTTTGTGGCAAGAACAATCTGTTACCTCTGTCTAATTCTTCCTTAAGTGTTTACCTCCTAGATATTTTATTAAGTTTACACATTGTGTCTTGTATTACTTATTTAGTACCTTAAACACTCGCTCTAAGGAAGCACCCAAATCTTGAAACAGTAAAATAATCAGCACTTGGCCCCCCTGAGCTGTGTGCTCTTCCCGGTAGATAGTGTACTCTTGCTCCATCTTTTGGCTCTTCATGTTTAAATTTTTATCGTGGTGGAATATGTTATAAAACATTTGAACCATTTTTCCATGGACAGTTCATTGACAGTAACTACATTCGCCATGTTCAATAATTACTACTGTTTGGTTCTGAATGTTTCATCGTCCTTATAAAACCTATTGCTTAAGCAAGACCTTCCCATGCACCCCTCCCACCTGCCCCAGATACATGCTAATGGCCTTTGGTCTCGCTGCATGTGCTTATTTTGGGTATTTCCTATAACTCAGGTCACACCATACTTGCCCTTTTGCAACTGGCTATTTTATTTCACTCGGCATAAAGTTTTAAGATTCATCTGTTTTGTCTCCACCACATTCGGAATTTGTCCTTTGCTCTTGATGGATGGACACGGGTGTTTTCACTTGGGGGCTATTGTGGATAGTGCTGCAGCAAACAGTGGCTACAGTTCACTGGTTCCTGCTTTCACTTCCTTTGGATCAATAACGAGGGCTGTCATTGCTGAGTTGTGAAGTACTTCTGGGTATAATTTTCTGAGGACCCACCCAACTCGTTTCCTCATTGACCACACCATTCTCTAATACTGTCAGCAGTAGATGAGGGTGGGAGCTTTATTTTCAAATGTACTCTCTCCGTGGAGAGGATGTAAGTTTGATGTCGAATTTCCTATATAAACTGGGTCTAAGTTTTGTTCATATAAGCATTCCAGGTAACAAAATAGTGTAAATTTGAGCCAGCCATAAAGAGCATATTGTGCTAACTTTTGATCCGTGGTCCTGCTTCCTGTAAAGAACTTGTCATGGGAGCCGAGGGGCCAGACTCCCTGTGAATGTTATCTGTGCCACCAGGTGCCGTGAGGCTCAGAGGCATCGATGTGTGAGAACCCATTTAAATGGCTGACACGGTCACACGGTTGTTGAGTCATGGTCTGCAACTAAAAGGCCGAGGACTTGAACTGACCAGCCGGTCCCCAGGCGAGAGCTTAGGCAGCTGCTTCTGTAAAGACTTACAGTCTTCGCAACCCTGTGGCTCAGTTCTACTCCCACTCCGTCCTGTAGGGTCGCTGAGAGAGAGAAAAATGCTTGACTTCGGCTGATCAAGCAAGAACCAAGCCTGGACCAGTCACTAGGGCAAGCTCCCCAAAAGGAGGGGTGGGGAGGTTGCCTCTTGAGATGCCTGCACAAGAAAGTGAGTTGAGGGGATGATGCATATGTAACAGATTTTGGACGCGTGGTCTGGAATCAGCCTTGGGGCAGAATGATAATCCTCGCCCAGGCAATGGCTCGCTGTCCTTCCCCTTGGCTTCTCCATGCTGTCTGTATGCACTGGTGACATCTTCCCAGTGAGTGTTTTGTTCCTTGGCCAAAATTCTCTAGGATCAGGTGTCGTCTGCAGCCGCCCTTTCTTGTACAAGCGTAGTGAGCCAGATGTAGTTGTAGTTTCTTCCTGTGATGGGAAGAAAATGGGATATAGTTCTCAGGTATTTAGATGCTACATGGGCCATTTGCAGACGTCTGCAATGCCGAGGCGCCGCAAGTGGCTGGCGTCTTCTCAGCCCGCCAGTCTCATACCCCTCCCGCGAGGCTGTGCAGATAGCAGCCACTTGACAAAGTGACGGCAGGAAGTGGAAGCTTGAAAGCTGCAGGGTGGGGGTGCACCGTCAGCACAGAGTGTGGGACAAGGGCCTGGGTAAGGAGGGCCGCCAGGAGCTCCGCAGTGGCAGGGCCCTCTCGTGCTGACTCCACTGGCCCACGAGGCGGGGCGGTAAAGGGGTGGGCAGGGTAGGTCACCTCAATGCACATCCAGGTGCCTGGTGGGAACGCACTGTTGGCATTAGCATCACCATCAACAGCATTCAGTGACTGGGCCAGCGGTGGGGGTTCTCTTCAGGGACCCAGGGTGAGAACTCCCTCTGTTACCATCCAGCCCACACCAGTGACACCCCTCCCACTTCCTCTGTCTCCCTCAGTCCTCTCTTGCCTCCTGCTATTCATCTGCAGTTGACTCCATGCTAAATGTTAAGGGCCCAGAATAGTCAGTCTGTCGTAGACATGCCTATTTCTTCCAGAGAATACTGTCCCATCGACCCTCCCTAATCCATGAGTAGTACCTGCAAGTTAGATGGCATTTGTGACCGTTCGCTGAGAGCGGTCCACTGCTCCACTGTTTCTTTGTTGGGAATCTGGTACCGTTTGTTGAACTAGAAACCACTGTGATCCATTATTAATTGAATCTGTTCTGTTTGTGCCAAGATTATAGCTGTGCCTTGCTACAAGCAAAGCTAATACATGTAGCTATAGATTTATCCAAATGCTGTGAGTCGGAGTTGACTTGAAGGCTGGTTGGGTTTGGGTTTTTTTGGTTTTGATTTTGGTTGGGGTTTGTTTGGGTTTTTTTGTTTGTTTGTTTTTCATGGATGGCTAGTTACTTTACTTCTCCAAAGACTCTACTTTTTACAAGGGCTTCTCAGAGTATTCCTTTCTATTTTGAATACATTTAAATATATATCAGATTTTCATTTACTGCTCAGTAGCATGACTCTTGTATAAGGAAAATGTGGTTATAATTCATCCCATTTATTAATATTTTGGAAACTAGTCACTAACTAGGACCATCTTTTAGATGATGATAAAAATGGTGGTAATAGGAAGAGCTTTAAGAAGCTCATGGGGAAATGGAATCAAGAGGTAGTAACTTTATTTACAAACTTTAAGAAGACACTGCAGACCTCCTAAATCTCATTGGAAATGAATGCTCCTTGGTTTGTTTGTTATTGGTTTGTTGGTTTACTTTCAGAATGTCTGGGAGATCAAGATTTTTCCATATTTCAGTCTGAACCATGAAATCTTAGCAGTGGCACAACTTAGGAATATATGTTCTTGAGTTACATGTAATGGAGAAAGCTGCATTCATTTTTATCCACTAAGAAGAAATATAACTACAGATACTCTCTGAAACTAAATTTGTTAGCTTCGCAGAATTGTGCCCCTGGACAGGCAATGATGATGCCTTTGAACACTGGGACTCCTATCTGGCAGTAGTTTCCCCAGAACACTTTTTTTTCACAGTGCAATAGATTATTAGAGTAATTAATCTTAGGTTTGTTGAAAGAGAAATAGACTACTTGGAGACTGGCTTCTTCTCAAATCTCCCTAAAGGAAAGCTCGATCTCTCTACTGGCCCTCTTTTTTTTTTTTTTTCCAATCATTTTATTAGGGGCTCATGCAACTCTTATCACAATCCATACACACATCAGTTGTGTAAAGCACATTTGTACATTCATTGCCCTCATCATTCTCAAAACTCTTGTTTTAGAGCTCTGTGCCATAATATCTCAATTCTAGATGCTGTTGTTCTATGTTCCCACAGAAACAAACCAACAAACACCACTCTCAAGGCAATTCTGAGGCTGTAAACTTTACAGGAGCAAATAGACTCATATTTCTCGCAGGGGACAGCTGGTGGGTTTGTACCACCAACCTTGTAGTTAGCAGCCCAACACTTACCAACGAGTGCCACCCATAGTACCTGGTATTTCTCCTTACATAACGCTAATCACATTGTATTGTAGCCTGTTATTTAATTGTCGTCTTTGCCTATTCAGCAATTTGCCTATGCCAAAAATTTTATGCTAACAAAAAAACTGCCTATGTTAGCAGTGGCCAGGAATATCTCGTTATCCCAGCACCTGGCATATAGCAGATGCTCAACTAGTATTTGCTAAATGAGTAAACACTATTTTTGGCATAGATGGTCAATAACCAAAGAAGACCAATGACAGATATTCTCGCCCTATCCAAGGAAACAAACACCTCCACGTGATTCTTGCTCGTTACAACCCTCGGTTGGCATTAGCTCACACTGTCAGTGCTTAACAGCCAAAGACTAGCCAAAACTCCCCTGGCGTCGAAATCTGTTTATTCAGTCACCGAAGCCGTGAAGTGCACACAACATTGACCTTGGGGAGGGCAATTCACAGGGTGTGGGCCCCAACTGGATGATTGTAAAGAGCTACTGGGAATGTGGGGGCCTCTTGTGGGTCGGGTGCTGCCAAGGAGCACCTTCAGTTCAGCACATGGTGCCTCAGTTATCTCTGGAAGATGCCCGAGCGAACGAGGGCTGGGATGTCGCTGGCTGGAAAGCAGCAGCCATTCAAAAGGAGGCAGTGGCCGTCTCTTGTTAGCGGAGGCACAGTCTTGTCTGTGTGCTCCGGACAAGACAGAGTCCTGTGTGATCCTGTGCCCTCTCATTGGAGACATCGTTCAGGTTTAGGAGTGTGGCCGTCTGCTTAGCTGTGTCAAAATCAAGGGAAACTCCTCTGGATGAAGATTTGTGAATGGCATCAATTCAAACAGCCACGCATTTTGATGTTTCTGTGATGGGCTTTCTAATGGTTTTCCCTAAAACCCAGAGCCGCCGCACAACTTCTCTCCCTCTCTTTTCCTGCAGAAATACTGCTGACACTGAAGGTAGCTGATTGCTTCTTTATTCAGCTGACCGGGCTCCAGTTGCTCAAAACACTTACTCGTCTGGAGAGCTGCGTCCACTTATTCTGACCCACTGACCTGCCAGCCAGTTCTGCCCGAGCAGGAACCACAGACAGACCTCGGCTCTGCCCCAGTGGGGAGACCCAGGCAGCTGTCACTGGAGAAGCTGCCTCTTCTCTTGACGGTCTGAAGCTTACGTCCAGACAGTTGCTCAGTCTGTTCACTGCATTCACCTTAGTGCAACTTAGATCTCTCCTGCAAAGTAAATGTTGACAGGCAAATTCCATCCCCATGTCAGATTGAATGTATTTAAATGTATGTATTTAAGGAAAAGAACCGTGCTCTTGTTCTGTTCCTGTTTGGTTCCAGACAATGGTTTCTTGCTTGGTTTCCCCGGCTAACCTGTCTAGTGCAAACAAAGATTTCATCTGGGAGAAAGAACAGAATTCCTTTAAAAATTAGAACCTGATAAGGTGTTTTAAGCGAAAGCCTACCCATGGGCTTAGAAGCAAGGCAAGCCCGTGGACAGTGAGGTGTTTACAGAAACACCCAGCCAGTGAGGACCAATAAAGTCCTAGTTGTATCTTTGTAGAAAGTTCTAAAGACCAGGTTGGAAAGAATTTCCACTTAACAGCCTGTGAGGGCTGTTAATATTAACAAATACTGTTTTCCTTTTTTCTTCTTCTTCTTCTTCTTCTTCCCTGGATTAAAAAACAACAAGCTAATTCATCTAAATCATGAATCAAGAAGAATTATTTGCGCACCCAAATTAAGTTACCCCTTTGTTGATTCAGGCAGTTTGAATTGGCATCTCCTCCTCCCCACCACTGCCCACTTTGGCTCACTGCTCTCTAGTAGTGTACACAACAGAAACCAGGTAACTCTCTTCCTGAAATGTTTTGCCAGCCACCAATCAGTTTGCTTAAGATTGAATTTCTGAAAAATGCATTTACTGGCAAGGAGAGGAGCAAAATTAGGGCTTGATCCCAATCAAGCTAAGGGTACCTGTTTTGGAAGCATGTTTCTTCTGTTCCCCAGCAACTCTGGCCTACAAAATGGGAGAAAATAATAGTGTGTGAAAATTTTACAGCAGATATCACTACAGATTTATCCACCACCATGTGTTTCTTGTTTGTTTGGGTTTTTTTTTTTTTTTAATTTTATTTTTTAGCAGTGCTAAGCTGAAGTTTTATAAGGTACATAAAATCCGATTTATATGTAAACAAGCAATAATTTAAGTTGAACTTAAGTGTTTTAATTGTATAATTTTTGTGAGGTATACATATTGTGGAATTGACTCAAAAATGAGGTACTTCAGTATTAAATTAGATATCTTCATAGCAATGTCTCCTAAAGGTGTTTTGTAAAGGATATCAATGCCTTGATTAGACCTAATTTGTAGACTTTTAGACTTTTTATTTTCTAAACCTTGTGATTCTGCTCATAAGTCATTTATCTATATAATATGCAGCCGCTGTAGGAACCAATTCTTGATTTTTTTATATGTTTATATTCTTTCTTAATAAACCTTAGAAAGACTACATGTTACTAAGCAGGCCACTTTTCTGGTTGTTTTTCTTGCCCATTCTGGCAGGGGAATAATCTTTTATTAATTGGCATCGGTTTCAGACAACTGCAATACTAAGAAACGGATGACCCTTTTTTGAACTATTTCTCTCCGACCCGATACACATAGTTTCATAACTAAATTTCCAAATGATGTTCTTTTTGATGTCGAAAAGGCAGCGCATTTTATAAAATCTCATTAGCCAGGCTTTTTAGGAACAGAAAGGTTTTTCCTAGAAATCTGATTGTTTATTATTGTGTGGCAGGGTGGAAAATGTACAAACTATACCCCTATTTATATTTATCTCTCTCTATATATATGTAGGGTATGGCAGTATAGAAAGAGATATAGCCCAAAGATAAGGGATGAATAGTCTGAAAGTGTTGCTCCATACTAAAGAAATGTTCTGGAAATTTGCATTTAGCTCGATACAGGGAGGTGGCCGAGGAACGGCACCACGTGGTGGCCACCAGTTCAGTGTCCCACTCAAAAGGCTCGACTGCTCCACCAGACTCGGGCTACCTGACTGAAGAAAAGGCCGAGCCAATGTTGGCCCCAGAACTCCATGACCTCACTGCTGTACTGAGACTTGCGTTGTACACCACTTAACCTGACCAGTTGTCCATTGATTTGTAGAAAGATGTGAATTAGAAGGACCTGACAGCACAAACGCGAGATGCAGTTGAAGCTGGATTTGTGTTCTCTTGCGTTTTGAGTCTCTTTTCGCTCTAACGCGTCCCACAATGCCTGCATCATTATGTTGGTCCATCTGCCCCCGCCCTTTGACCGTGGGTCCCGTGCAGACCCATGGACAGAGCTGCGGTGCGGTCCTGGTAACGGAGAGCAAGTGGGGACCCTCACTGTCTTGAAGGACAAGCAATGAGGAGTTTCCTCTGGGCTCCGATCAGGGAATGGGTTCTGCTTTACATCTAATTAGGAGAAGAAGCGTAAGTGAAGAGATCCTCTGATCATATTGATCACTGTAGAAGCAAAAGCCAAATCAATCCCCTTCATTATCAGTATTTCTCATGCTGTACACGATAAATTTGTGAGACCGAGGACTTGGTTTTTGTTTAATAGAACAAATAATCAGTGTTTTACTTCTATTACTAAATGTGAAAATGCATAATGTGAAAGAATACATACATTCACTTGGTTGTAAGACTCATTTAAGTGTTCATGTAACGTGGTAAGTTTAACAAGTGAAGTGAGCTGTTTTACTGCAGATGGACTCGTTGGACTCAAAGATGAACATGCCTCCCCTGCCCCATGTGTATCTCTGTAACGGCCTGTAATAATTGAAAGCAATGTTTTTGCAGTTTCTATAATGCAATTTTTAATCTGTGTTTAAAAATGGAGTTCATATGGGCTTAACACATGAAAATGGGTGGCACCGATCCACCTGCAGAACCCAAAGATACACAATCAATTTTGCAATGCAACTGAAGCCATTAATTGTTGGTGTGAATTTAAATTTTCTAGGGTTTGTATGGTAGTGTGCTGCCTAAGAGCAAGCATTCTCTGCACAAAAGAAAACTACTGCAGTGGCTTCGGCTTTAATTAGAATTTTCTCCCTGGTGTTTCTTTATAGACTGAAACAAAAAATTTTAAGTTTCTTCCTACAGGTAAAAGCTATGTGCAAGAACCTCAAAATGCTAAAATCTAGCATAATGCCTTAGATCTGTTTTTAAGTCTTGTATATTCCTACATAGCTGTCTGATGTATTATATTTGTATAGTGAATTGTGTACAATTTTTGAATCAGTGCATCATCACTTAACCTTGACGTTGTTGAATGGTGATGATGAAACATACATTTCTTCAAACATTTAACTGTCTTTTTTTTCCTTTTGTCAGTTGTGGGTTTTATTTGTACAGTTCTCATGAAGTTGCATCTGAGATGTGTGTATATGAAAAGATTACACAAGGGTGAAATTAAGCAATATATTAACTATGGTTCTTCAGGAGAAAGCTTACAGTGTTTCAGGTTGTGATTTATTTTCCAAATGGAGTTGACTCTGAACATCACTTTGTCCACCTGCATTGATGTTTGTATTTCTATTGTGAGCAGTTTATGCAAAGGTAGATATATTCAGAGAAATTTTAAATACATTTATGCAAGTTAATATTGCTTTGCTGATGCTATTTGCTTATTTGATGTTAAATAATGCTATTGTAAATAAAGAACTCTGTTGTTATTGCATCATTTAATAAATTTTAATGCCTTCGGGTTTTACATGGCTTCAGAGATTTTTTTTAATATTTATATATAGATATAAAATTGTCTTTATGTTGTAGTTGTTAAGCCTGACATGCATGGACCGCTTGCTCCTACCCGTTACATTTTTTGAGTGGAGCGACCATTCTCAGGCTCCCTTCTGTTCACGTAAACTCCCTGTGCTCCGCCCCCCGCCCCCCCTCCACCACCACAGTTCCTGTCTCACCTTTCAAGTGGCTCCTGTTCATTGGATCCCAGATAGGTGTTTCTTCTACAAGCCTGCTGCGCAAGGCAAACGTTGTTTACTGGTAAGCTGAACTAGAGCTGGAGCTTGACTTTCGGAAGACTTGAGGGGATGCTCTCAGTCTGAGGTAAAGATGACCTCAGGGCAGCGGCTTCAGAATTCATCCACGCTCTGTGACCTCAGATAGCCTGGAGTCTGTGAGAATAGGAAATTCTGTTCAGCGTGTTCTTCTGGTCTCGTGGTAGTGGAGGCGGTTAACCCCACACCCCATTTCCTCTTCCTATTTCCGACTCTCTTTCCTCTGTTGGGTGAGGCAAACAGAAAGCGACTCAGACCGCAGACACTACCCATGGATGAGGAGGGTGAAGCGGAGGCCGGGCACTGGTCGGGAGAGCTCACGAAACCCGACAGCGACGCCTGGGAACCAAGAAACCAAATCCCACCAAGTGTCGGCCTCAATGGCTCCTCTTCTTTTCCTTGTTGAGGAATCCATCGATGGCACAGCTCATGTCCTGAGAGGTCTCGATGTGTATATGGAAAGGGGACTTCAAGATGTGAGTGGGAAGTTCCACTTTCTTTTCATTCCATTTTCCCACAAACTTTCTGAAGCCCCCTTTGTATTGTATCGATTCATAATTAAAAATACCTTAATTGGTTATAGTTGCATGATAGCTGACACTGCTCGTCGTCCTTAAAACAACATGTGCATGTACACATCGTGCGCTTTTGGCTCTGCCCGTTTCCTTTGACCCTCCGTGTGAGCCCATCGTAGAGATTTTCTATCTGAGGCCGGGAGGAGGTGTCTGTTTAAGACGAGCTGAAACTCGCTGGAGAACAGCAACAGAATCGCCGTCCACAGAGTCCTGCATGAGCGTCCCTGCTGGCATCACCGCGATGCTGAACATCCAAATTGTCCGTGACAACAGAAGTGTTTCTGGCTTTTTTACATGGACTGCCCATTAAAGTTACACATGACACATTAAACTTAACATTTTAATAAATTGCCCTGTTAATAAACTGCGTGTATGACAATCAGGGACCGAGTTATGAACTGTATCAGCATGTGTTGTAGGTAAAACCATTTCAAAAGCACGAAAGATCAGAAAAATCAATTCCATTGACCACAGGAACAGACGTGAGAAAGAAAGAAGCACCAAGAAGCATGTCATTTGGCAGTGGGTTGCCCCTGCCCATAGTGCCACTGGGTCAGAATCGACTGGACAGTAGTGAGTTTGGGTTCTGCGGAGGGGGGGGTGTCCTTTTGGTATAAATGAGAAATGAGTAGGAAAAACAAATTGCAAATGAATACATGATATATGTATTTAAGGTTACATGATGTGACATCTTGCTAGTAAAACACGAACACATCCTTACAGCAAAAGTAGGAGGCCCACCCTCCTGCCAGTGAGGGAGGGCTTCATGCTGGAGCAGAAGAGAACGTGTTCAGCCACACGCCAGCAAGAAGGAACAAGTGAATCGACTGACCAGCCCTTGGCATTCATAAAAAAACATCCTCACAGGGCATGGTGCCCCAACGGACTGGACTGGAAAACACTTATAAAGGCCAACAAACAGTCCTTGAACTAACTACAAGCTTTTCTTATTGCGTTTTGTTTTATGTCACTGGTTTGTTATTGTTGATGTTTTGTTGTATATTGTTGCGTGGTTTTGCTCTGGTTTTTGTGTGTGTTATTATCTCCGCAGGTCTGTCTAAATAAGACAGGCTGGATGAACAATCTGGAGGAGAAAACAACAGGACCGACAGTTTGGGGGACATGGGAGAGGGGGAGGGAAAGGTGGTGTTAACAAACCCAGGGACAAGGGAACAACAAGTGATCCAAAATCAGTGGTGAGGAGGGTGTAGGAGGCCTGGTAGGGCCGAGATCAAGGGTAATGTAATCAAGAGGAATTACTGAAACCAAATGAAGACTGAGCATGATAGACGAGGAAAGTCAAAGGAAATAGAGGAAAGAGCTAGGAGGCAAAGGGCATTTATAGAGGTCTAAATAAAGGC